TATGTGAATTTTGTTAGCCCTGATTATTGCCTTGTTGTTGAAGCTGTTATCCGAAAATTTGATGAGTTATGCATATTAAATTCAGTTTTAAGGCCCTGAAGAGATTTTTTTAGCATTGTTTTGTACCACTCTTGTTGAGCCTTACGAGATTATTATCTTGATGAAAGAGAAGTATTTTTAGAGCTTTAATCTCAGTTTATAAGGCGCAAGCAGCAAGCGACACAAGAATACGAATTTTTCATAGTTCATTTGTTTTTCTGGTCCAACCAGCTTTATTATTGTACTCACTGGGATATGTCGTTATCTCACTGGGATCCCTGTTATTTCATAACAAGGTTGAAGTGAATTTACTAGGTGGGCCTGGAAATCAGTCCACCTTTTTACCTTTAGTTTTTCTGTTGAACCTGTATGGTTGTATTCTTTTATGTGGCCAAACCCTGCAAATGCAGACTTATGAAGGCCATTAGTAAGCTCCCATCTTGATGATTTGTTTGCTTTCTGAATAAAGTACCTCTTATCATTATGTTTTGCTTGATCAGAAAATCAAAATAAGGCTGGCGTATCTCTGAAAATCATTATCTTTACCCTTGGTTTCTTTGTCGAATTAGAGTGGCTAAATCTTTGTGTTAAATTGTGTCTTCTTTCTCGTCTTTCATTGGTTCTCTTTTCCACGGTTCAATTAGGCTGTGTTCATAATTTAATCTTTACTGCTTTTTTTGCATACAGCGTATTAGTGAGAATTTAATTTTTTTCAGGTGACTCCTAACCTATATGGGAATCTAGTTGCAAATACAGCTGCTGGTATTGTTGGGGGTACTAGAGTCATGCCTGGTGGTATATATGACGAATAGTTTCAATAACTTTTATCTCATTTGAAATTCAAAGAATGCACCCATCTCAATCATAAGTGGAGATGTCATTTACATAGTAAGATGTCGGTTTGCAATTGGTGCTCCTGAGTGAAGAGATAGAAGACCGAAATAAACTAATTATAGATTATATGGTGCTCAATTTTGGGATTAGCTGTTACTTATTCGGGATTTTGACCGATAGATCCCCTTAAATTCATTTATATGTAAATTGGACAGGGATGATATTTTTTCGAGACTTTGTAAATAATATTGTCTTTGTTTTGATGGTTCAGGAAATGTTGGGGCAGATCATGCCATTTTCGAGCAAGGTGCTTCTGCTGGTAATGTGGGGAATGAGAAATTGCTGGAGCAAAAGAAGGCAAATCCAGTAGGTCTTCTCCTTTCTTCGACTATGATGCTAAGACACTTACAGTTTCCTTCATTTGCTGATCGACTAGAAACTACTGTGAAGCGTGTTATAGCCGAAGGTAAATACCGGACAAAGGATCTCGGTGGAGATAGTACCACCCAAGAAGTTGTGGATGCCGTGATTTCTAATCTCGGTTGAGTTTTCTGCTTTACCTGCTGGACTATATCATTTAGTGGTTGGGCAAGTGTTCAAATGTCACTCTTTTGTAATGATATTTTTTATTTTCTTTTCAAGTTTGCTTTACAATTTACATATCCAAATTTTGTGTCTGCTGCTCCTTGAGCAATATTCAGAGTCTAAATAATGATTTCGAGTCCTATTATGACACAGAACATTAAGAACTAAAGCTTATCATAATATGTTACTTAATTTCCAATTTATGGAGTTCTATTTTAATTCCTTGAGGGTTCTGTACAGTTTTTGAATAGCTGCCTACGTAAGTTCGCAAGAGATGGAATTAAAGTGGAATGTTGCACTGTATTATTATCAAAACCGAACTGATATTTGGGTTGCTTTTTTAATGTAAGTTCGCAAGAGATGGAACGGTAACACTATATGGATAGAACGGTTGACCTTGAGCAACAAAAAAAAAAAGAATGGAAGTTGGTTGGTGGTTGAGTAGAAAATTCACTTATTCCACGATCTATGGCTCGCAAGGTAACATATATAGTTGGTACTTTGAACAATTCGGTCAAATTGTGCAAGTTATATTCACAAGAAATTCTTCATTTTTCAACTCTCCATTTTCATTCGTCATTAAAAAGTGAAACCGATACTCACATGTGTGTTTGTCTACACTAACAATGTCATTAACTCGATTTAAAAAGTCTTCATACGACAAACTCCCCAAACGCATAAAGTTCATCTCTGCCTGTCCATTTTTATAAACATTCTCATCCCAAAATCCGCTATGCACAATTCGAACTTTTTCACACATTTGTAAACCAAAGATGTAAACGTATTTAATGACAAACAATTTCAAATAATTATTTGAGAATTAAGTAATCAATGTTTATAACAAATCAAATAAAATGGTTTATAAAATGATTTTTGAAATCACAAAGATTTCTGGGATAAGAATTTAATGACAAACAATTTCAAAATAGATTTCTCGGACAAGAAATTGGATTTCTGGTCCATAAATCGTTTTCTTGGCCAGAAATCACATTTCTAACCCAGAAATCTATCTCTGGACTAGAAATCGATTTCTTGTCAAGAAATCGATTCCTTGTCCCAATAAATCGATTTCCGGTCCATAAATCACATTTATGGGACTAGAAACGAGATAATCTAAAAAAAAGATTTCTGAGAACCAGAAATCACATTTCCGACCCAGAAATCACATTTCTGACATAAAAATCGATTTGTTCACATTTCTGTGTCAGAATGTGATTTCTGGGCCAGAAATCGATTTCGTGACAAGAAATCGATTTGTTCACATTTCCGTCCCAAAAATCGATTTATGGGTCAAAAATGTGATTTCAGGGCCAGAAATGTGATTTCAGTGCCAGAAATTGATTTCTTGTCACGATTTCAGGGCCAGAAATGTGATTTCAGGGCCAGAAATTGATTTCTTGTCAAGAAATCGATTTGTTCACATTTCCGTCCCAGAAATCGATTTATGGGTCAGAAATCGCATTTCTATTGATTTCCTGTCAACAAATCGATTTCTGGACCAGAAATGTGATTTCTGGGCCAGAAATCGATTTCGTGACAAGAAATCGATTTGTTCACATTTCCGTCCCAGAATTCGATTTATGGGTCAAAATGTGATATTTCTGGGCCTGAAATTGATTTCAGGGCCAGAAATTGATTTCTTGTCACGAAATCGATTTCTGGTCCTGGGTCAGAAATCACATTTCTGGCCCAGAAATGTGATTTCAGGGCCAGAAATTGATTTCTTGTCAACAAATCAATTTCTGGACCAGAAATGTGATTTTTGGTACCAGAAATCACTGGTACCAGAAATGTGATTTTTGGGACTAGAAACGAGATAATCCAGAAAACGATTTGTGGGTCCCAGAAATCACATTTCTGGCCCAGAAATTAAATTTTTTACCCAGAAATTGATTTCTAGATCGGAAATGTGATTTCTAGGCAAGAAATTAATTTCTGGACTAGAAACGACTTGTCCCAGAAATCGATTTCTGACCCAGAAATCGATTTCTGGGACGATTTCTGACCCAGAAATCGATTTCTGGGACAAGAAACGAGACGATCCAGAAATCAATTTTTGGGTTGGAAATGTGATTTCTGGGTCAGAAATCGATTTCTGGGAAAGAAACGAGACTATCCAGAAATCGATTTCTGGGCCCAGATTCGATTTCTAGACCCAGAAATCAATTTCTGGGCCCAGAAATCATTCAATGTTCCAAGAAATCTATTCTACATTTTTTTTGCCATATTCATTTATTAATTTTAATAGCATATATATGTGGCCCATTAAATAAAAAAATTATAACAATACCTTTACACTAGTATTCCCGAAATATCACCGGAATGTTGCCGGAATGAATATAGAGAGAATGAATTTTTTTGTTTTTTGTTAAGAGAACTAATTTTTTTTTTAAGAGAGAAGAGAGATGAAGGTAATGAAGGAGAGAAGAGAGATAAACTTTTTTTTAAAAAAAAATTATAGTAAGGGTATTTAAGACTTTTCATGTGCCAAAATGGCTAAAAAATATGTTTTTTTCAAACTATGGCTAAAATTTGTGTTCATCATTTCTACATGGCTAAAAAAAAATTCTCTGTTTTTAATATCCTATTCCTGGAAACAAGCTAGGCTCATAGCCATCTCTTTAGCATCGAATCCCATCTATTGTAAAAGCCACAGGGTTCGGTACACTACACACCTACCCAATCTATCAAATGTAAACATGCAATTCCTCACAATACTTCCGGGCTTCAATTGCCACTACGGATATAATGGAATGGAGAAAGGACAATCTGCTTTCATGAAAGTGATAGAGGCCTGAGTTAGGGATATTTTCCAAGAGTCATTATTCATTACAGAACATAAAAATATTCTTTATTTGTCATTTAATCTGGACCACATCCACATTAGCTCATCCTGCCACTATGCATCACACATCTCACACACTCTCTCTCACACACTGATACACACATTGATTACTCAACTCATGTTACACACAAGCACACACACAATGATACACACACCCACGCAATACACACACACATCGCCGGCGGGGATAGACATACACACCGCCGCTATCGGTGAATGAATTAACCGGAAATGAGGCTCGCCAAGAAGGGCGTAAGAATCAAACAGAAGGCAGATGCTTTGAGCAGAAAGGGCTATTGCAGCAGTCTCGCCACTAGAGAATAAATAAATAAATAAGATGGGGGCGGGGCTGGATGGAAAAAAGGACCCAGACCTGGCACGCTTAGTTAACAGGTCGGGTCAGGCCCGACCCGTTTTAGAAACGAGACAGGTTTGGGCCGCCCCCAAATACTTTGGGTCGAGCTAGTTCGGGTCAGGTCCATGTCGTTTTGACATTCCTAAAGGTAGGTATCAAAACATTGATTGGTAGTTAGTCGGTAAAATCATTGATTAAAATTGAATTTTGAGTTAAAAGTGAGTTATCTTTCAAATATTGGTGTTGAAATACATGGAAATGTTACAAAAGTATATTTTAAGTTCTTACAAATGAACAAATAATAAAAAATTATAACATAACTGAAAAATAAATTACAACTTGATAATGAAAAGATTATACTCGAGGCGAGTATACTCTTTCTTGCAAAAAGAATACGCCCTGTATACTGCTAACGGTTCAGTCGTATCGTCCACAATGATACGACCAGAGCAGATGCATCCATTTAAAGTAAGAGGACAAACTTGGCTTGTAGGGCCGACCAGAGCGAATGCATCCATTTAAAAGTAGGAGGACAAACTTGGCTTGTAGGGCCTACAAGAAAAGTTGTTTTTCTTTATGATTTTTCTTTATGACTATTATTATATTTGTTGGAGGCAACTTTAATATAATTAAAAAAAAGTATATAAAAAGTTTCTCACATCTAGAGGGTTGCGTGTCCTAGGGGCCCCTATGTGGGTCTGCTCCTGCATAAAACGACGATCGTCTCGAAATTTGTAGCACACCAAATTTATGAACTCCGACGAATTGGAATAGAGTTGATACTTGATACTGAGCACTTACTATAGAACTATATCTATATAACTAATAAAATTATTTATTTTTTCTGCTATTTTGATAACTGATATTTTTGCTTCAATAGAACTATCAAGTTCTTATTCTTTCTCCGCTTTCTTTTCCTCTATTTTCTTCTCATGTTCTCATCTTTGATTTTGTTTCACTTCTCTTATC